GAAACTGAACAAACGATTTAAAATTCTTTATTACCTACTCAACCGACAATCAAAATTACTATTAAAATCAAAACTTTCGACATACACATACCTACTCAAACCTATTTGGATGTACGGGTGCCAAGTATATGGATCGGCGAAGTATTCCAATATTCAAAGATTACAAAGTTTTCAATCCAAAATTTTAAGACTAATTGTTTCTGCCCCTTTTTATGTAAACAATAATACACTTCACAGAGATCTTCAAATCCCAACAGTTTTTTCATCCATCAAAACATATTACAGAGTTTTCATAGTAAATTACAAAATCACACCAACACACAAATATTGAATTATACAAGTACATGTTGGAGGTGACAAGATGAACTTATACAATGCTAGAAATCTTAGACTCATTCAATGTATTTGTACTCACTCATTCTTTCGTTTTCTGTGTTGTTTTTGGATTGAGTCTAAAATTTCTAGCGTTGTATAAATTTATCTTTTCACACCCAAAATGTATAATTATAGCACGATATATGCAAGGGCACTCTCGACAGGACACGCAAGAATGGCACAATTACTCAGAAGACAAACACTTTGAGCCCTGAAGATGATCTCAATAAAGCTCGAAACGTTGGCACGATAAAGAAAATGTTTTTCTAAAACCTACTTCACACCAGGCCGCATCTCATGATATCAAAATAATCATTAATTAACGGTCACTAAACACCCGCTCAATAAAATTAAACAATAGAGGGGATTAAATAAGATTAGAAATTTAAGTCGTTGCGTTGGATGTACTTGTATGCTATTTTCTATACATACTTTCGCATTTTTCTTTCCTATTGAAGTCATTATTCTCCATGATTTCCTCCCTGCAATTTGAAGTTTCAAAACCGGTTCAACTAATTTTTCATACACGTGAGTTTAAGTTCAAACTTAAATTGGACTTCGTCGCGCCGACCAATTACTGCGTTTATTTACTTAATAGAGCCATTTGCCCGAAGTTTAAATAATTAGTTAAGTAGGGAGTTCAGGAAGCCGGGCCAACGGGGAGAGAAATTTTTTAATTAAGCTCCCTGGATATCCACCAATCGTTTACGTTGGCCGGGTTGAGGATTGTTATTTTCTCCATCAATATTTATAGGCCGACGTTCCTTATTCGATAATCGATAAATATGGTAATTAAGTGTATATTGCTTTCGTGCTTCGGCAGAAAGAAGCGGGTGGCCGTCGCCTGAAAGTTCTGCAGCAATTTCCAGTCTGATATAAAATGACACCTAGCTTGTTCAGCTTATTTAGCCGAAGAACTAGTTTTACAATTTCCTCCAAATTAGAACACTGTTTTTGTTACATTTATACAATATTTACAACTACAAATATTTTATTAAGTAAATATGTTTATATATGTTGAATTGGACATTTGTGTCTTGTAGGAGAAGTTGCCCACTTCACACTGAAATCTTTCCAATCTTTGCTCAATGTGAAGGTCTTGGAGCCACTTTCTCTTCAATCGTTTTAAAGGATATTCAAGTAAACTCAATAATAAAATTGAAATTAAAATAAAGTACTAGCGTTTTCAGCTAAGGATTTGCAGAGCATCAAGATTCTTCGGTTAGGGGTAGATTTTTCACATAAATCTGAAAAGTGTTTAATAATATATATCATTAAGTCTACTTCTCAAGGTACATTGACTTTTTCTAAATAAAAAAATTCTGCATTAGGAATACGTAAAGCCAATGAACGAAAATATAATAAGTGAAATACAAATATGTACAGAAAAAATGTACTTTTCGTTAATTTTGATTTTATTTTTACAATATGAAAAAAGTGTGTGGTGATTAGTGACCGTTAATCTATTAGAAATCGTGAGATGCGGTCTGGTGTGATGTAGGTTTCAGGAAAACATTTTCTTTCTCGTGCCAATGTTTCGATCTTTATTGAGATCATCTTCAGGGCCAGGGATTCACTCAAAGTGTTTGTCTTTTGTGTAAATGTGCCATTCTTGCGTGTTGTGTCGAGAGTGCCAGTGAAATTTTGCTATTTTGTGTTTATATTCGTTAGATTTTGAAGCGGTGGGGAAGGATGTCGGTATAGAAAAGACGACAAGAAGAAGACAAACACTTTGAGTCAGTAGAAATACTTTGATTGAATATATAAAAAATATGTTTTGCATTGTATAAATTCACTTTTCCACATCCAAAATGTAATTGTTATATGTAAACAATGTTTGTAAATCCCAGGCTCTGAAGATGATCTCAATAACGATCGAAACGTTGGCAAGATAAAGAAAATGTTTTTCTGAAACCTACATCACACCACACCGCATCTCACTATTTCTAAATAAATATGAAAAAATTGACTAAATATGATGAAGAAAAACTTAAATTATCAAGGTGTTATTTGGTTAATTAATTGTTGTAAATTTTCTTCGTAATAAACAATGCTGATTCTGTGTGACGATGCCAATCCCATTCGACCTAATTTTAAGATAACGTTTTGGAAAAATAATTAATCCCGAGAGGCTTCTACTGAGTCCTTCATAAAGCTATACTCCAAAATATAAATCTGCTGTGTTTTTATAATAAAAAATGTTCAGGTTTATATAAAGGAAACTCAAAAAATAAATCTGTATTAATCTGAAAGCGCCTTTAAACCCCTTCCTTATGCAACCTGCATAGCTGGAAAGTTATGAGTGCAAGTATAACCATTACCATGCTCGGCTGAAATGAAAGAGGAGGCTAAAAACACAAATTAATTAAACTTTATAATTTATAATATTGATTATATATACCTAAACGATCTTATATTGTTATCGTTTATATGTACGTATACCGATATTTTAATTTTTATTAATTGTTAATTAATTTTAAAATTAATAACATTTCGCTATTTATGATTAAAACCCAAATTAATTAAACTTCAGACGTGGGATAATGGACATTAATGAAACCTTTTTTTTTTTTTTAAACGAACGTCCCTCGGTCCCAAATTATGTATTTCGATATGTACGATACCAATGCAAATGGTAGTTGCGAAATACAATTTGCTGTAGTGATCGAGCAAATGCCAAACTTGAAATTCCGTTTTTGCATTCCCAAGAACCCTTGGAAAATAACTCTTTTTTTCCGAAAAACATGAAAATGATGATAACTTTGAAACGACTGAACTTATCCGCAAGAAACCGTACAGGCTTTTAGAAACTTCTAAACCACACGTCGCCTAAATTAATTCAGTCATTGCACGGGCCACACAGTTCGTTATTCTTTGAGCGGCTACTGTGTATTGAGAAGCGCGACATTTTCAACGGAAATGTTATCTTGTGGGAAATTTAATGTAATTTGCGCAATAAAGGTCAGATTTGTATTTTAATGACGATTTTATATGAAAAATCTGACTTTAGTCTAAAATTACCAAATAGTTAGGTCAAGATAGAAACCTCGTTCTGGTAGGACTGAACTACGTTTTATTTAGTTAATCCACCATGGCAGTATTGACACTTAACCCTGTAACATCTTGCATAATATGTGAAGAGGGTGATTGAGGAATATCAAGTACCACCCTGAGTCAGTGGTTATGTTGATAAGAAAAAATGTATTTAGGAGTGAGCGGGAGTGTGAATGGTTTTGGATTTAGGAACTGATTGCGTTAGAGGCTGAAACGACCTAGCCTTTGATACCCCCCTGCAGTCCAACTTCGTCGGAGGTCTGACCCGAACTTCCAGCATCCGGGGGTGGGTCTTCTCGAGGTCTGTCGGCAGTTTATTGTAAATTACAAGAGCTAGAATTATCGGTACACTGCGACAAGTGATAGACTCAGCTCTGTACAATTCTACACATAAATGTGTGGTGTTTAGTAACCGTTACTTGATTATTATTTGGAGGTCGTGAGATGCGGTCTAGTACATAAAGGCATGTGCAGATTTGAGTTGAAATCTGATTTCCATCGGTTTTATAAAGTTCAATTGGGGTAAAACTACTGAGGCATGCATTTTTAAGTAAAACATTAAAAGTATAAAAAGTACGTTGCCCCTGGCGAATCCAAAAAAAAAAAATATATTGCGGTAGAAAATCGTATTTTAAAGTTGTAAAGGATGGTTCAAACAATTCCGATTTTTTTAAAAATAAAAGTGTTTTGACCAACTTTACTGGAAACGCATCGTTTTATATATTTTATCTCATTCCTAAGGATTTTTCTTATTATGGTTTCATCCTAGGTAAAAATACAAATCAACTGATATACGTCATGTCTCTTGGACATTATGTAATTAAGTAAAAGAATAGGTTAAAACAGGATTTATTTAATAGAATTGAATTTATTTTAAAAAAAAAATATTATGAACGAACAAACTACTTGAAAAGGAAATAAATAAATCTTTCATTAAACAAATTATAATAATGACTTATTTTCAAAACAAAACGTATTCCTTATATTATTACTACAATAAATAATAAATGATATTAAGGTTGAATTTCGTGGTCCTCTTGACCAATTAATATATTACTATTAATCAAGGTTTTTAGTTAAGATAAAAATGAAGTAGACTTCACTAAACCTCTCCGTGGCCATTTCATTTGTCGCCGAGAATCAAATAGATTACACGACATTTGAAAAATGGCAAAAGGAGGGAAAATTCAAAAGGTGGGGTTGAGATGGGAAGTTATTGTCCGAGTGGATCGAGGTCACGATAGCTCAAGTGGTAGAGCAGCGTCGTATCTAGCCGAAGGTCGTGGGTTCGAATCCCGCTCGTGCCATTGACTTTTTTATCTCAACTAAAAACCTTAATTAATTGTAATGTATTAATTGGTCAAGCGGACCACGAAATTAGTGAATTTAACTTGTAGCATGATTTACTGATTTGTTATAAGTTGCTTTCTTGAACAAATCAGGAAATATAAACCATTTTTTCCTTTATGTATATATTTATTTTTATAATTATATTCTTTTATTTTTCTGCACGTTAATTGTATTACACGTGTTAACTCATTGGTGTATTTGTTAAAAAAGGCGAAAACAGATACAATAAAGCATAGTGCATTTTATTAAATTATTTTCAAACATGTCAAAAGGGTATCTTGTGAAATCATCCACTTAACATATTTCCAACATAATTGCTATACAAACCAAAAACAATACATTGCATAATGTCCAGTTTAACCAACCACCAATAATTCATTTTTACAAGAAATAGTTTAATTTGTACTATGCATAACTATGTTGGATATTTTTTACAGATTTGTAATTTGTTTTTTTACAAATTGAACACAAATTTTTCTTTCTCTTCTTGGCATAAAACAAATACGCACTGTAAACAAAATATTTTTAAAAAAACCAACATTGATTTTTCAGCGAACACCAGGATTAGAGACATTTGTATATCCTTAGGTGTAAAATGTTGTTAAAAATTATATTATTAACATTCACATTTCGACAGTAATACAAACTAAAATTAGGCCGTACGCAATAATTAACAATGTAATCATGTTCATGGTAAAAACTAACTGTGATTACATAACGAGAAACTTACGAAATAAAAAGCAATAAAAATCAGTCCTGCGTACAGAGGCACAAAAATGTGTAAAGCACAGTCTTAAGTTATTTCACAAATTGATATTTGTTGGCATTTTTAAGCAGTAATCAATTGGCAGATACAGGCGTATAATGAAGACTTCTATTCACAAAATCTTTCAGGCGAAATATCAATGGTGCAAGGTAGTAGGCCAGGGCGAAGTAGATAATGCAAGTGCATGTGACGTCCAAAACGTACATCCTGTACAAAGAAAACACGTTTGATATAAATACATAAGAAAAGTGAATTAGCAATTATATTAACTCTTCTGAAACGAGAAAAGCCATTTAATTAAGAAAGAAATATACAATATAGATCTTTTAGGGGTAACATCTAACTTTGACCTTTAAATGAATATTCTCTCCTTGAAATTTAAACTATCAAAAAAACGTTTACACAGTTTACAAACATAGATGGTAAATAATAAAATAGGTTCATTGATAAATTCAATTCATCGCAATAAATCCTAGAAAGGTCATAAATGTGTTTTTAAAGCAATATGTTCTATATAATTTCATCAAAGCATATATTTCAATTTTGGAAAGTAGTTTCAAACCACCCCCTCATTCAAGAATAAAATGAAATATAATTGTAAAATGCGAAATATCGAAGGAAATTCAACATTGCCTTACTCTACTGTTGATTGCCTAACACACCTATGTTCAGGAAATTTGAATTTAGTTCTTCCCAATTTCTCATAGCCATTTGTAAAATAAATATTTGTTTATCAACACGAATATTTTACATATTCTGACCTTGATTATATTTCAATCACAACTAAGGCATTTCAGATTACTAAACTTAATTTTGAATTACAATTAATTAAGGTTTTTAGTTGAGATAAAAAAAGTCAATGGCACGAGCGGGATTCGAACCCACGATCTCCGGCTTGATACGCCGCTGCTCTACCACTTGAGCTATCGTGACCTCGATCCAGGTGCGGTTGAGATGGGAAGTTGGTGTCCGAGTGGATCGAGGTCACGATAGCTCAAGTGGTAGAGCAGCGGCGTATCAAGCCGAAGATCGTGGGTTCGAATCCCGCTCGTGCCATTGACTTTTTTATCTCAGCTAAAAACCTTAATTAATTGTAATATATTAATTGGTCAAGCGGACCACGAAATTAGTGAATTTAATTTTGAATATTTCTTTCAATCTTTCTTCCAAGTCCTTCTTAGATGAAAAATTAATCTACGTAGATATTTGTCTGATTTAATATTTCTTTGCATTAAGTGTATTGTTTTTCTGTGGTTATAACAGGCATTTTCAGGTCGGATATTTTTTTTAAATGTTTAGATAAGATTGGGTAAAAGTTCTTCAACCTGGTTCCTAGTTAACATATTTGACAAATTATGTAATATTATACAATATATTATTGTACAATATAATACATTTTATTGTTTTGTTGTACGAAATTGTTTACACGACTATACAAATATAATGAGGTGAATGAGGTACTTGATGGTTTTTAATTCTTTTTGATTTCCTTTCTTTGCGAAATAAAAAATGAAATTTGCTTTAATTACTAATTTGTGTAATTACAAGGTAATCGGATAATTGGTTTAATTTAATGTAATTTTGCTTGGGTTAAACCGAAAGGTCTAATACTATAAGCTTTCCTCTCGAGAATCTCAGATTATGGCTACGTTTCCATTCAGCAGATTATTTTAAGCGATCCAAATTTCCTTTTGTTTAGTCACCGTTTAAGAGGTTTTAACGAAGTGTTTTATTTATCAATCGCTTACATTTTCATGTATTTCCTGGCCCTCGGCATTGTCTCGATCGGTTCTTTCAAACAGTAGATTTTGCTTCCCAGAATGAAGTTTTTGAGATATGTATCCAAATCGACGTCGACGTTCGAAGTGAAGAATATTTCCCGCTCTTTCTCGTCGAGTAAATTCGAAAGATTCATAAAATTGTCCGCTTCGAAATGCCAGTTCCTCATCGTGAAATACTGAAGTAGCTTGAGGCCGAGTAGGATCCTGTTCTGTACCCGGACCATGCTGGAAAAAAAATACAAAAAACGTAACAATCCGTGTGGAGTTTTAATTGTATGATTCGTTACAATCTCTTTTGCTGAGCGATGAGCATGATGAAGTCGATAAAGTACGCCGGGATGATCTGGAAAAAGAAAAGCGCGAGAGCGTGGGTGTACGGGTTCGTCCTTATGGTACCGCCTGGGTACCAGAGGCCGGGATCTAAAGGGTACTCCTTAAGAAGAGACCTTCCTTTTTCAACTAATGGTCCCCATTGGGCAGTGATCTTTTTTGATCCTGTCATATTATAGACTGGAACATCGTTTGGCCTGAAACAACATGAGAAAAAATTATAATTCAATAATGTCAGATTATATTACTAAGTCAATGAAAATGGTTGACACATATATAAACAAATATTAAGTTCAACTGTTTTATAAATTCTTTAAAAACCAGTACCCTTTACTATGTCTTGAATGCATCGTAATTTCACTAACCACTTTATGATATTTTAATTGTAAAATAAAAAATATTTACTTCAATTTGATTAAAACATACTTCAGTTTAGTTTAGTGAGCTGGCTGTAAAGAACCTCAAAACTATTGAGGCTTTTGTTTTCAATTAATCAACTGCATGTTATTAGGTCATGTCTCACGTTTCGTTCGTGACGCAGTAAAAGTTGCTGCACAACGACTGAAAATGCACGTCTTCCTCATACACCAGAAGCTTCATTGATATATTTTTGCATACAAATTTTCATATTTTTTTCCAATTGAAGTACATTTTTTTTCGTTTCGTAAAAGTTATTCTTGACAATGGCCTTAGCAGTCTGTCAAATTGGCTTATATACCTATTTTTGTTATTTACGATACACTAATTTCATTTTAAGAATTGACGATCAAATATTTTCGGTAACGAAGGTACGCCACGCCACAAGATTCCTCCAGTTATCCGTGCCGATAAGGATTACGATGACTTCTTCTTTATCCCGCTTCAATTTCTCAAAGTATTCCTGGCGGAACACTCTTAGAACAGGGCACACTCCCATGAAGTGAAAAGTGTCCTCTGAGACGTTGTTGTTACAAAAGGAGCAAACTTTGGTGCGACCCTGTCTCCACGGTTGGCAGTTCAGCTGGAGCAATTCAAACCCTCACCCTTAAGACAAAAGACAAATCATAGGTTGTCATACTATAGCCATACATGTATTTTCGGCCTATGTCTAAATCGAGTATTGCGTAGGAGTTGTGGTATAAGCTATTTTTTGCTCGGAAGACCAGATCGTTCTTTTTGCTTCCCTCCCACTTTTTTAACCAGTATTAGAGGATTTCAGTTTCTCACTACTTACTCCTGGACCATACAGCCTGCCTAACTCTGACGGCTTCTTATATCACGATATGTTTTTATTAATTACTACATCGGCCAAAAACTGCTTCAGCCTGTCAGTTATGGGGTTCAGTACTTTTTTAATATATTTCAGAAGCAGCTCAGAGTATAGCAGTAGAGTGGCGTGACGGAGCTCTCAATATATAACGCGTAATCTGGGGTGCTAATTACTACCCTACTAGGTAGAGACTTCTTAAAAAAGTATTAAACAAAGTTAGCAAGGGTGTTAAAAACTTTAATTTTTATTTTGCTAGTAGGCTAGTCTTTTCAGCCATGACATTTGGTCATGCCACACACACAGACATGCCAATTCATTTCTTTGGCCTGCAATTCAGTAATTGATTTTGTTTCTTGACACGGTTTGAATGTCTGTTACGTTGCTGAAAAAATTGTAGGTATGGGTTTTCACAATCTAACATAAGTCCTTGAATGTGATAACGTCTGGGAACCCAACCTTTAATTTTTGAAACATTCTCCCCTCGTTTTTTTTAACCAGAGAAGGTAATCTAATTCTTTCCGGTCCAATTGTCTACGTTTTGTGCATTTCTATTATACAAAGAGTATCGCAAAAATTTTAATTTTTAAAGAGTATTATCAACTTAAACAGTGATAATCTCCTAAAATAGCAATCACGGTGGAATATAAATTATAAGATTCAAAATAACTGGAAGCATTTCGTAATACGTTCTACTACTTAATAATAGAAAGATCAAGTCACCAATTTTATACATCGAAAATAGAAAAATTTTATTATTTCATTTTTCTTCGTTTTCTATTGTAAGTCTGTTATCAATAGTAGATTCAAACTTTCACCAAAAAATACCCCCCAAAAACCTAGATTTTTTTCTACCCAGACTTTGTATTAAATTCACAATCCCAAGAGGGTCGAGGACAACCACATTTTTAACAAGGTTACTTGTTCGACCTCTACAAATGCATTTTATCTTTATTCTCATATACACTTTAACTGCATTGTTGAATACTTTATCCACGGTAGAAAATTTCTTGTGCCTTTTCTTCCTTCTCTTTTCGATATTTCTCTATAGTATAGGATAGAGATATTTCTCACCTGGATTTCTTAAGGTTTTCCGATGTTTTTATTTTTTTGGGTAGTTGCATTTTGAGACTCTTTCCGGGTCTTCCTCAATACCTTTTTTTTTAATTTGTATAAATCAATAACAATGAAATAGATTGTTAAACATTAACAATATTTCAAACCAACTCAGTTTTTTACATATGAGTGTCAATAAATGACCGGCTTTTTCTCTCGACGGTATTTCTATTTCACTCATAGGTAGATCATTCATTTATATTGAAGTCATTTTTACGCTTTTTTTAAATTATTCTCTCTCTATATCAGATAATTAAATTCTGATAGTTTGCATACTTTTTTTATGCGCTTTGCAGATTTACATTCTTGAAAATATAATAATGTACGAGTATGTTGTTTCCAACCATTCTACATTTTACTATTATTTTCTTGATCTAATCTAAAATGTCTATATTATTGAATTAATCGATTTATTTAAATAAAAATATTAAAATATGACCAATTACGTTTTAATATTTTGACCTGTTTTTTTCTTCTGTTTTATATTGTTTACTTCTATTTTCTAACAATTATGTAGTTTTGTCTACATATAGTTTTTTACAGCTACATGTTATTTTATAATTTACATTTTTCAAAGTTTATCTGTTTTTTCTTTGATATTTGGAAGGATAAATTTTACTTTGTTTTTTTAAGTAGGGATATATCTTGATGTTTTCTAATAGTTTTTTTTTTAAATATATGAATGATTTTTTTCCGTTAAAACTTCAATGTATATACAAAACATATTATCTAGATTATTTGTTTTTTCAACTTTGGGTTTTTCATAATTATTTTTCTTGTAATTTACATTACTTTCTTTAGGAATAATATTGTTGATTAAGTTTTTACGGTAATATATTTCTACTATCATTTTGTATAAATATTTATTTAGAAATCGTGAGATGCGGTTTAGTGTGATGTAGGTTTCAGAAAAACATTTTCTTTATCGTGCCAACGTTTCGATCTTTATTAAGATCATCTTCAGGGCTCAAAGTGTTTGTTTTCTGTGTAATTGTGTCATTCTTGCGTGTCGTGTCGAGAGTGCCGTTTAAGTGTTTCTTGGAGAATTTTGTTTGTCTGTTTGATGAGAGTAGGAGTAGTGTCTGATTTGATTATGCTGTATGTGTTTGTGCCTGTGATAATTCTGTTAATTTTTTCCGTGTACTCTTTTTTACTGATTGCTACTGTTTGTTTGGTCTTATCAGCAGAAAGAATGAGTATGTCAGGATTATTTTTGAGAAAATTTTTGGTTTTGGTATATGTTTGTTGAGATAGNTGTTTTTCTGAAACCTACATCACACCAGACCGCATCTCACGATTTCTAAATAAATATCGATTAACGGTCACTAATCACCACACATTTTGTATAGAGCTTGTAAATTATTTTTATGGAATGTATTGTCAGTTTATTTGAATATGATGATAGCTAGATATAATTGTCATGTTTCTTCTTTGTCCTACATGTATAAGTCTGTAAATTTTTTATTAATAATTTCTTCGAAAAGCGTATCTAATTTTTAACAATCTGTTGAATTGTCAGGCAAAATCACTTCTGCCAACATTTAGCTGTTGACCTTATTCTGACAAAAAGAATCCCCATTTTATTTTTTTAATATTTTAAACTTAATTTGGTGGTAAAAATATTTCAAATCTAGAAGTTGATTATTTATTTTTTGAAGTGAACACACCATTTATTTGAATGCCATTTATTCAAATTGTTAATGCATTAGCAATTGAAATAAATGGCATAAAAATAAATGGTGTGTTTAATTCAAAAAACCAACATTCCAGAATTGAAAAAAATACCTAGTTCTTCTCGTCAATATCATAAAAGCTATCATCTTTCCTAGCATTAAATGATTTGATAAGTATTTAATTTTTTCAACATAAGTTTTTAAAATCTAAGCAGTAATATGTTTTTTTAACTTATGCTTTATGATCGTAATAGATTTGTTCAGGGGAAGCCTGTATTTTAAATTTTTCCCTTCAAATCAATGAAACTTTGGTGGTGTTTAATTGGCGTGCTATTCATATACGACTTTTGCTCTGAAAGTCCTAAAAATCGTAAAATTGAGCATAAACTAAATTTCCATTTCGGGCCAAGTTGAATTACATGTGGTGATGACGTGCTGCTGAACAAACAACTTGAGTCTTATTTTTATGGATTAACTCGATAGCCACTTGATTAAACGACGTGATCAAAGGGCAACCTGTCATTTTCTTACGAAATTCCTTACCCATGATTGCTACTATTTTAGCACTGTTTAGTTATGACTCAAAGTTAAGCACGTTTGACTTAACAATCGCCATGTTGTAAATTATTTTTATGGAATGTATTGTCAGTTTATTTAAATATGATGATAGCTAGATATAATTGTCATGTTTCTTCTTTGTCCTACATGTATAAGTCTGTACATTTTTTATTAATAATTTCTTCGAAAAGCGTATCTAATTTTTAACAATCTGTTGAATTGTCAGGCAAAATCACTTCTGCCAACATTTAGTTGTTGACAAAAAGAATCCCCATTTTATTTTTTTGATAGTTTTAACTTAATTTGGTGGATGATTGGACTATTTCAGCACGGTTTAGTTATGACTCAAAGTTAAGCACGTTTGACTTAACAATCGCCATTATGACAACATGAATAAATACTTAAAAGGCAATTGTCGATGTCAGATATAGAAAAAAAGTCTTATATTTTTTCTCATTTCATTTTGTTTTGCTAAAACATTTATATCGACATTACGAATGGATATGGTTTTCTAAACAAGAGGTTATTCACCAGGGCGTGGATGTAAGATTAATAATGATTGGAATGTGGGCTTTCATCGTTATATGACCGAATTAGGGGTACTATTATATAAAAGTTAAACTGGATTTAAAAACAAAAATTTTTTTAGCGAAAGTAACACCACTCACTTTGTGATGCCACGTTTCCAAGTCGCGATGAGTATCCCGTTGATGCACACGTCGACTGGGATGACCTCAGCTGTATTGTTCGGACCGCAAAGCATCGTTCTGCAAAGATGGGTACAATAGTATCAAAATTGACATGTGTCTCTAGGTGGAAAATTACCGCAAAACTCCTTTTCCTGCTGCGATAAAAACGCCAACTGGACCGTTCAGATTGTCAACCCATCCAGGAATGGGATCCTTCAGCGATGGAGAAACTATAAAAGAAGGATACAATTATTAACAAAGCAGCGTTCAATTTAAATAAATAATTAACATTGAATGGGTCAAAATATATTTGTATATATTTTCTTATGCGAGTTTAGTTGTTGGGTCTATACATGCACTTTATTTATCTCGAAAAGATTTTGTAAGATTTCCGCCAAACTAATATCGTTTGACATAACAAATCACATACTACACAATAGTAGTGACAACGAATATGCACAACTATCACAGCAAATATACTGCAGACGACAACAGAATAAAAGTACTTCAACGGACAAACATACACACCTAACTAAACACGTACTAGGAATGGCTAACAAAACCTCAGTTATGCTCACAGAAGTATTTTTACAAATCTTTGAAGATAACTATTTCCCTGAAACACATCACACACTGATTCTTTCATGACACTCGCCATAGTAAACGTCAACAACATAAACCACATAATGACAGACCTGAGAACTCCTTACTGAATAACGTTTTTTTCTTGACTGAAACTTGCAACAAATTACAATTGGACATATACAGAACATCATAACAGTCGACTCAAATCTCCCCCAGCGTCACAAAACGGCTGCACTAAAATACGTGACAGGTAAACTAAAAACAAAAGCGCTTCGAATAGAAAAATACAATGACATAAAAATTTTAAAAAAACATTACACGCAATAATGGATACAACACAACAACCAATGTACCCAAATTATGCTCACGTTGAATAAACAAACTTGCCCATGTCTATAGATTATCATCAATACTAACTAACATCTACGTATGTTAAACAATTATTACTCTACTTCGACAGTAAGTTCTTTACACAAGTCTTAAGCGACAAGAACTAAACGGACGATTGGTCAATTGCGAAGACTTCTAGGACTGAAATCAGACATAACTGTAAAAAACTAATACTGTAACAACATTTCTTCGACCCGTTTGGACACAGGAGTTGAGCTATGGATCTTAGGGTATACACATAGATGTAAATGAATGAATTGATAGATGCAATATACGCTAGATAAATGGGAATCTGGTCGGATTACTCATACATCTATGGAAGGACTATGATACATACCGTAAATAGATGACTTGCTTTATTGTTGAATATTCTGGCCTTTGACTGTTTGAACGATCGAGTGTTGATTTGATTATACACGTTTAAAAATAGACCGACAGTTATAAATGAAGACAGAATAGTGTTTATTCGTGAATTCGCAGTGATGTTATTTGATTACTTTTATTTGTTTAATTTAATAATTGTGTTATTATTAAATCAAAGGTAGCCGTCAAAACAACATTCTTTATATTGCATCGTATTGTGTACTGCTGTTCGTATGGTTTGACCCGTACAGCACCGTGTTTACGTAACAAAGAGAAAAATTATAATAAAAATTTACCAATAGCTGGTCGGCACACAACGATCGGCATCTGTTTTCCATATTTGGCCATAAGAGCTTCCGTAAGCCTTTTTGTGAATGTGTAACAGTTGGGGTGAACTCCAAGCAGCCTGGAATACATACAAATTGTCATGAAGTCGAAAAAGTTCCTTAATCAAGAAATATTTAATATAAACAACAATTCAATTCACTAATTTCGTGGTCCGCTTGACCAATTAATATATTATAATTAATTAAGGTTTTTAGTTGAGATAAAAAAAGTCAATGGCACGAACGGGATTCGAACCCACGATCTTCGGCTAGATAAGCCGCTGCTCTACCACTTGAGCTATCTTGACCTCGATCCACTCGGACACTAACTTCCCATCTCAACCCCACCTTTTCAAATTTCCCTCCTTTTTACCATTTTTCAAATGTCGTGTAATCGGATTGGATTCTCGACGACAAATCCAATGGCCACGGAGAGCTTTAGTGAAGTATACTTCATTTTAAATCATTAAATTCACTAATTTCGTGGTCCGCTTGACCAATTAATATGTTCCAATTAATTAAGGTTTTTAGTTGAGATAAAAAAGTCAATGGCACGAGCGGGATTCGAACTCACGATCTTCGGCTAGATACGTCGCTGCTCTACCACTTGAGCTATCGTGACCTTGATCCACTCGGACACTAACTTCCCATCTCAACCCCTCCTTTTTGCCATTTATCTCAACTAAAAACCTTAATTAATTGAAAGATATTAATTGGTCAAGGGACCACGTAAACTAGTGAATTTAATTAATTAACATGAAGTATACCTACACTAAAGCTCTCCGTGGCCATTTCATTTGTCGCCGAGAATCCAATCCGATTACACGACATTTGAAAAATGGCAAAAAGGAGGGAAAATTCAAAAGGTGGGGTTGAGATGGGAAGTTAGTGTCCGAGCGGATCGAGGTCACGATAGCTCAAGTGGTAGAGCAGCGGCGTATCTAGCCGAAGATCGTGGGTTCGAATCCCGCTCGTGCCATTGACTTTTTTATCTCAACTAAAAACCTTAATTAATTGTAATATAAACAACAATCATAAATTGTAATAAACCAGTTTGATTTAAAACTGAAGGCTTGGAGAATTTAAGTAATTTTTGTGTATTGATCTATTTTTGATCAGGAAAATCTCTCGTTCAAAAAATCAATAAACTGGAAATGCTTGTAAATCTTTTAAATATCTTGAGATTTTGTACTTTTAATCAATGTTAATTTTATTTTTAATTATCATTACTTGGGTGTGATGAAAGCTGCGGTATCAGCGTCCATATGTACAAATTGACAAGAAGTCGAAAAAGTCTCCTTAATCAAGAAATATTTAATATATACAATGATCATAAATTGTAATAAACCAGTTAGATTTAAAACTGAATGCTAGGAGAATTTAATAATTTTTGCATACTGTTTTAAAAAAAATCAATAAACTGGACGTGTTTGTAAATCTTTTGAATATCTTGAGATTTTAATCTTAAAGTAAGGGCGTCGGTGGCCGCAACGGTTTAGACGTTGACACGGTGCCCATCACTGTAAGGTAAAGGTCCCGGGTTCTAATCCAGCGGCCCTGCATTCGAACCGAACATACTTACAAATGGGCTTTTTGCAACACCGGCACCCCGAGGGTTGATATAACCTCTGCTGTTACGAACCCTCGTAAAATAAAAACTGAATCTTAAAGTACTTTTAATCAATGTTAATTTTATTTGTAATTATCATTACTTGGGTGTGATAAGGTCAGCGGTATCAGCGTCCATCCACTTCATGGCATCCAAGATGTCCTGCGGGTCCGCAGGTGGCTGGTAGAGCCTCTCCTCCAAAACCTCCTCCTCGCAATGACAAAATGCCGTTGACAAATGGAGAAACACCTAAATTTGAAATCAACATTGATCACATTGATCAGTCTATTTGTAATGAATTTGTTGTTAAATCCATGAAACACGTAGCCTATGTTGGAGGTTCCCTCTTAAGCAAAAATCTCAGTGAATTTGTGATCCCTTGTCCATTTAAGGCGCACGTGCATATATTGCATAAACTCACAAAGATTATTTTTATACGGGCAAAAATGTCCTGGGCGAAATGTCAATTACCATTAAAACACCTACGCCTTTACGTTTTTTTTTTTTTTTTAAGGGAATTATTACGGAACCGTGCCAAAGTGAAAGTCAGCTTAAACTGTATAATCAAAATTTTTCTGAAACATAGATAGTAAAACAGACCCGGCTCCTAATAAAAATCCAGGCCGTTTAAACACGGGATCGTTTACAAAAACATTTAAACATGAAAATATTGTTTTTAGTTTTTATGTTTCTCCTTGGCGCATTTAACCGATTACTGCTGAAGTTGAACACTTAATTTACGTTCCGTTTATGGTGGATGAACACATTGTTCTAAATAATTGTTCTGTTTATCTCCCCGATCTCGGTTCATACCGACGAAAGTGGTCCAGTTTGTTATATGAGTTATTAAATTAACCACGATACGGAGCGTTAAGTGAATAGAGGAAGACCGTGCAATAAACTCGAGTTTAATTATTACTCAAAATGCGTTGCTCGATTTTAACATAATCGTTTATGTTTCATGCTTAAAAAGGCCCCCAAACCATAAAATGCAATTATGGTTTTCTCCACTCAGAAAGCGTACGTATTTTTACAGGCTGACGATTTTCTACCTATAGACACCTGTTATAGACACAGTAAAATTGCATCATTCCAAAAGAGGACGAGTTGTAAAGGTTGAAGGTCAGTTTGTTATTTAATGCCTATGTAAGAGTTTCACTAGTGGACAACGGGCCGATTTGAATAGAAAGGAAGATGAAAAAGGATTTACCACCTGTCCAAGCCATATATGAATTTAAATATTTATGGGAGGGAACGTGATGACAGTTGTAATAAAGGTTAGCGCGATTTTAAATAAATTTGACCATTACTGATTACAGATTTATATAAGCTCAAATCGGCACATGCATGTTATGTGAACGCTTGTTTACAGAGTTGAGCCTATCATTTCTCGCAGTTCACCGGCAATTCCAGCTTTCGTATTTTACAGTACTTGTACGGCAGGCCTCGAGAATCACCCACCTCGGATGTTTGCAGTCCGTCCAGCCACCGTGGTTGGGCCATAGGTGCTATAAACTGCTAAGAGATCATATCAGCGCTAAACGCAATCAGTTCATAAATTCCCAACATCCATTCACATCCTCACTGACTGTTAAATACTTTCTTTCATATTTACATTTCTCCCTTACAGCTCGTTTTTAAAGTATTTTATATATTTCATTAGTAATTGTGAATTATATATTCATTAATTATGTAGTGCCATATATATATATCACTGGGCAAATAAAAGTATACTAGAAATTTTTTATATGTTATCGTTAATATTATTATGATTTTCGAAAATTTGAAACTACCACATAAGTATCATATTACTTAGAAAGTTTAAAAATACTATCACTTCACATTCTTTAACATTTTAGGACGAGTAGTTCTTCACTCACTCCTTCTCCGTCCTCACTTTCTTTCTCTTTCTCTCTCTCTCACTCTCACTCTCTCTCTGACTATCACTCTCATTATCACTCTCTCTCCTTCCCTCCCTCTCTCTCTCTCTCTCTCTCTCTCTCCTTTCTTTCGCTCTCTCTCATTTTCCACCTCCCTATCTTTCTATATCCATCTATCTACTATATTTATCCCTTTTTCCCTATCTAGATTCCTATGTATATTTTTTTATTCATTTACCGCATTCACTATCTGTTTTTCACTTTAACTACTTCTTCCCCGCCTATTTTTTCGTGCTCTCTCTCTCTCTCTCTCTCTCTCTCTCTCTCTCTCTCTCTCTCTCTCTCTCTCTCTCTTTCTCTCTCTCTNCTCTCTCTCTCTCTCTCTCTCTCTCTCTCTCTTTTCTCAATCTCTCTCTCTCTCTTTTCTCAATCTCGCTCAATTTTTCTTTTTATCTATTTCTCCCTCACCTATTCTTTCGTGTTCCCTCTCTTTCTCTCTACCTATGTAACTCTGTCTTTCTCTCTCTCTCTCTCTTTCTCTCTCTTTTCTCAATCTCACTCAATTTTCCTTTTTATCTATTTCTCCCTCACCTATTCTTTCGTGCTCCCTCTCTCTCTCTCTCTTTTCTCAATCTCACTCAATTTTTCTTTTTATCTATTTCTCCCTCACCTATTTTTTCGTGCTCCCTCTCTCTTTTTCTCTCTCTCTTTCTCGCTCTCTCTCACTCCCTCTCTCCTCTTAAAACCTAAATATAAATTACTATAAATCAAATTATGATGCCAGCTACTACTTTTTATTCGCTGTTTGTTCTCAACAAAAAAATTCTTACAAAGTGTAATTACAAAGATATCATTCTAGGTTAGAAGGGCAGAAAACTAATAAGTCGGTATTTAAAATATTTTAACTTAAACTAGGTAACACTAAAAACCGAAGCAATTTTGATCAAAACTGCTTCTAATATTATCGATTTAAGAATTTTAATTTGTTAATGATAGGCATAAAATTGTACAATATATAATTTGAACAATTAGACTTTATTACTTCATTATTATCCGATCAGAAAACGCGCAAGGTTTTTTTTAGTACCGTTGTATTTTTAAGGTAAAAGTGAAATTTCGTGCTTTGCTTATGCTAATTACAATAACAGTTGTTTCTAAAAATTTCTCTCATCTGTTAAATATCATACAGGACGGTGCCGATTCTGACCTTTTAACCCTCGTCCACGCGGTTTCTTCATATTATCCCGGGGGCGCTTCGACCGGAAAAAGAGAAGGGTAATCCTGGGTCTGTTACACCGTGAAAGTAGCCACGAATATTTTTTTTACGGAATGGGTTTCATAATATATCCCGAATGAAAGAACGCGGAATAGAAACTAGGCCGGGTTCACGTTTTATTTCTTTTGAAACATTGGTTTTGAACCGTTATTATCATCGGCCCAAGATGCACCGTCTATTTCCAGTTTTGACCTAGGTTGCCCTTGTGAAACACCGCTCCGGGCTAAACGGCGGTTTCATTTTCAGACGAAATTAACAAACCTCTTAAAACTGGATTAATTTACAAAGCAAACAGTGCATGTCTGAAGCACACAGTGAGTTAAGATACCGTTGTGCTTCCTCTTCGGTCCTTGACTACGATTTCGGCGGTTACAACACAGGTTAGAAATTTTCCACGTGCAATTATTGATCCTTGACATTTCAACATGGCATGTAAACTACTTGTAATAAACCTTTTGGGAAAATCTTTCTTCTCTGTACTCTTTTTAAAACATTTTATTAACAGCAAAATAAATTTAAATTTACTTATACACCTCTTCAACTAGGAATGCAATAATCATTTCTAGGTCAGGTTGGTATGGTGAAAACGATACTAGGAAGCGGGGTTTGTACTCCCCAGGCACTGCAGCTTTTTGGCTTATTGAACCTTCCTAGTTCCTTAGTTCAGTTCAATAGACTCAAACCTTCTCCTTAGAAGTATCAGGTCATTGACTGTCGCAGCTGAAATTTGATTCCCTAAGTTTTTTCCGTACGTTACGTTAAGTCTTCATTGAGCTGTTGCTTCGCATTTGAAGTTGATATTGGTGGTTTCCTCCACCTCATTGCATAATCTGCAGATGGGTTCATCGTTGTGTTTACGCATGTTGTGTAGATGCTTTCTCAGATGCCAGTGACCGGTTGGTTGTCCTACCACTCCTCTGAATTTGGCCTTCTCCAATTGCAGCAGTGATTTTGCCAATCTAGGTGAGGGTTTCATCATACGTTTACTGTGTCTAGCGTCGCTATAGTTTATCCACTTCTCCTTTTGTTTTGTTTGGATCCATTCTTTGTTTTTGATATCGCAAGTACAGGTTCGGGGCACTGGTTTTGCACATCCTCCTCTGACCAGTCTGTCTGTTTTCTCATTACCCAAAATTCCTCTGTGCCCTATCTTCTCTGTGGTCAGGTTACTATAATTATTTTATGAAAATCAAAGTGTATATCAGAAAACACGAAATCGAAAGATCGTATTGAAAGACTATAGCAGATTAATTTGATCGATGAGAATGAATTTTACTACCTGGATTTCATTACTAAAAAAACACAATTTGAAAACAATCAATGAACATTTATTTCGTTATGCCATATTGTTTTCATGTTCAGCTGTACGAAATATGTCGGCTTGGTGTTAGACGTGCATGTTTGTTTTTATAGATTTCTGTCCAGTTAAAAAGTATGTAAAACACAGAGCTTAAATAAGGCGAGTTTTACTGGAGAATGACGATGGAGGTAAGTAATTAATGTATATACTCTCATAATCTAAAGTTCTTAAGTTGAATGTTATGATCAAACTCACTAGTTTCGTGGTCTGCTTGTCCAATTAATATTTTCCAATTAATTAAGGTTTTTAGTTGAGATAAAAAAGTCAGTGGCACGAGCGGGATTCGAACCCACGATCTTCGGCTAGATACGCCGCTACTCTACCACCTGAGCTATCGTGTCTTCGATCCACTCGGACACTAACTTACCATCTCAAACCCACCTTTTGAATTTTTATTTATGATCAAACATGAGCTAAAATCATTAAAATAAGGGTTGTAAGGATAACATTTTAACTGAACATTTCTCAAATGATGGGTCCTTAAAAATAAATATTTTTATTATTTATTAAATCCATTATGTTTACTGGTCTGATTGACCAAATTCTTTCTTGCAATTAATTATCCTTTTTTGTAAGGACTTGGTCGAAATGAAAAAGTTAGTGTCACGAACGGATTTGAACCGAGCCGAAGGTCGTGTGACGCTAACTTTTTCATTTCAACCAACACCTTACATAAAAAGAATATGTGTGGTGATTAGTGACCGTTAATCGATAATTATTCAGAAATCGTGAG